CTAAGTCCCTTAAAAGGGGTATATAAGTGGCCTAGGCAGGAATGGATTGTCGCTACCAGGCTGTGTACCCTAACCACTCTTCACCCCTCGCTTTCTGACCACGGCGGGGTCGACAACAACCACCCATCAGGTGACAAGATTTTCAGTTTGGGTAGCAGAAAGTTCGTTGCATTCGCGGAGGCATTCCTTGAGCAGAGCGAGGGCATGACACTATACTGTGGTACTCCCCAGTTTCTTCCAAGCCTGCCCGTGCAGTGTAAGGGCAAGTCTCACGTTCCCATTTCGTAGACGCCCTGCATTCTGACACCTGTAGCTGATGTGATGCCAAGACATGTTCCGCAGAGATGGAGTAGTTGCATTGCCCTGGCCAGGCTTAGCTGGGAGTTGTGCAACCTTTCTCCTTTGTCCTGGAAGAAGGTTAAGAAACATAGCCAGAGAAAAAAGGAGAGCACCACAACTCCTTGTTGTGTCCTCGTTGTATGTTGTCGCTAGGAAAAAAAGTGCATTACTCCCATTATCCTGGGGCCCGACCACGCGACTGCGGGCTAGGGGCGCGGCGCAGGGGCTTGAGAGTTCTGCTTAGCCCGGAGAAGAAGAAGAGGAAGAGCAGCACAACCTGGTTCGCACAGCGTCTGGGTATTCGGGGCCTTGCCGATCAGACGTGGGACGCCGGACATAAGCCTAGGTTCGTTGCTCCGGCGCTCCCCGTAAGTTTAAGAATGAAACAGAACGCCTAGAGAAGAAGAAGAAGTAGCAGTAGTAGTAGTAGTAGTAGTAGTAGTACTGTAGTAGTAGTAGTAGTAGTAGCAGCAGCAGGAGTAGTAGTAGTAGTAGTAGTAGAAAGAGTTGTAGTAGAACAAAGAGGTGAGACTTGTTTTCTTTGTGATGTCGCGTTATATTTTGCATTCGGTCCTTGCTGGTGCTGACCAGGAGTAACATTGATTCATCGGGCTTGGGGTGCAACCCCAGAGCACTCCTCGACGGGCGCTCATAGCCCAAGAGGGATGCGGGCCACATATCACCTTGAGTCCAGCATAGGCCATGCATACCTTGTGCCAACCCAAACTATTCGTGGTGTTTCCCAGGGGTTCCCCTCAATAACTTGCCAAGATGATCCACAGCACTTCACACCAGAGGTAGCTCTCGGACAGCATGTCGGATTTCGAAGGTGCCACAAATGGGCGGTGGGACACCCCTGACGAACCCACTGTTGCATCGTTGCTGTTGCCAGGACCTTGGCACTCACTGGATTCTGTATCCTCACCACGCATCAGGGATCAGGAGTGGCAGTGAAGAGTGGCCACATCGCCAATATGTGGACGGGCGTTTGCCTAGTCTTAGAAGAAGCAGAATGGAGAGCGGCAGGGAGGGAGATGGAGCGAGAGAAGGAATATTTGCTATGTTCTGCCGCTCACTCTGCACGTCAGCTTTGCCCAGGCGTTCGTTGGCTTGTGCCTTTGCATCCTCATGTCCCTTGCCTGAAGCAGTCCGCATGCAAGCGCCAAGCTCTTGAAAACATTCATTGCCATGGAAAAATGAGATGACGCCGTGCAGGATTGCAGCTGGTTGCGTTCTTTTGGGCGCTGCTGGCGTGATGAAGTACTTGGAGCGTGGCAAAAAGATGTTGGAGAAGGATTGCAATTGGCGCAGTTGAAAATGGCAGGACACCTCTTGTTGATTTGCTGGCAGGACTTGGCTGGAAAAGCTGTCTAAGGTGGGATGGCTGGAAGGTCATTGAGGCCACTCCTTGTTGTGTAATTATACAGGATTTGAGTTGGCGTTGTGTTGTTACACTGTTGTATAGCCCATGTAACTGTAATGTTGTTTGAGCTCTTTTTCATCTTGCTCGCTGAAACCTGTTGCAGGAGATTGGCGAGCTTACGATTCAGAAATCTGCTCACTGTTGATGAAGCACGCCCTGAAAGCCGCAAATACTTGTTTTGGCCGACACCGCCCAGGCCTAACCGCCTTTGCTCAACCTCAGGGCAAGCCCTCCCTCCTCCAAGGCAACCTGGCCATCAGAGTAGAGAACAGCTAACGTTTCTGCGCAGCGTTTGACATAGGCCGACTTCTGCCGGAAGGGGGGAGGAAAAGGTATGAGGAGTAAGGTACTTGTAGCAGTGCTGCACAAGCCAGCCAAAGGACGCACTCAAGACAGCCTCAGTTCTTGTGCTGAATTCCAGCGCATGGCTGCCAGAAAAGAGCTTTGTGACACTGCGGAAGGCTGCCAAAAAGCTATGCACGCCACATGAAGCACGCTGCCGACAATCAATGGGTTGCCAAGGTAGGCAAGCGGAGAATCGAAATCAACAGCCTTCTGAGGCTGGCCTGCTAGGGAAGGAGTTTAAGTGCTTCGATTCCCGTCTCAAGGAAGAGCGACACGCGAGGGCTGAACATCTCCGGCAGCGGCGCTGCAACCCTAAAAACAAAGTGCGAAGCGATGCGAATGGAGAAGACCGCATCACGGAAGCCTCTTTGGAAAGACTAAGGCGAAGCCCTCATGGAGAAGAAGAGGCGTGAAAGGGAGGCAGAGCCAGGAGCTTGAGAAGTTTTTCTTGTACAGCTTGGAAGCTCCCTAAACGCAGCTTGCAAAGGTTAAGTCGCTTCACAGAGCTCAACGGCAGCTCTGCAGCGGCTCGCGCCGCGGAGCGGGCTTGCCTCGCACTTGGCCTGGAGTGGCTGATGCCTCAAAGAGACGATTACGACGATTTAAGGTGCTGGGCAACCTGCTCTGCAGGATGATGCAGGCAGAACTGCAGAACTGCGCTAATTAGATGCTGCTACAGCTGCCTTGCATTGTTTGCGCTTGCCTTGCTGCCTTGCTCCAGGCAAGAAGCTTGCAGACGAACTACGCGGAAATGCCTGACCCACGGAGAGCAAGCATATGCTGGACGGTCTGGCATGCAAAGGTTTTAAGTTGCCGGGAGCCATTTTCTTTTGCATGCTGGTGGGTTCACAAAAAGAGCGGAGCTCTGAGATGCTCTAACCGTGATTTTTTGGTCGCTCTAAGGAGCCAGATGGGCCTCAGGCAAACCCTGAGGCTTTCGGAGATTCGGAGAAGACATTCATCAACTTGCAATGCTTGCAATGCTTGCAATGTGTCTCGCTTCGCAGGAAGCTGCAATAGCCATGCGCCGGGTCCTGTCCTCAGCCTGGAGCCAGCTCCAGCAGGAGAATCACACCCCAGCTAAGCCCTTTAGGCGTTGACCGCGCAGCTGAAGCAGACCCTGACGCAGCACCAGTCCTAGAAGGTCCTAAAGTACTTGCGCTGCGCATCCTGGTTGTGCAAAATCCAAAGATGACAGCCAACGGCTGTGGGGTTTAGAGTTACAAAAGTGTGTAGCAGCCTAGCAGCATGGAGACTAATCCGAGGTCCTTGCACTGAGCGGCGGCTCCTAGATCTGCAACCCTCCGGCAAAATTTGCCGGACCGTCAACGAACCTTATGCTGACAAGCCGATGCCGAACATGTCTGAATTGTCTGAAATCCCCATGGAGCTTATGGTGCAAATGGAAGAAGAACCAAAGAGTTCAGCAGAGGCGTCAGATTCAAGCACCTGGATGCTGCGGGAGGATCTTTAGGAAAATCTGAATGTGAACCAACTCAGATCCTTGCAGCTCTTGCGATGCCTGCGTTGGTCGAGAGCGCCGACTGCGCCGCAAGATGTGTCTGCACTTCTTGGGGAAAATTGAGTCAAGCTTTTTGGACCTGAGTTCATGGCTCATCATGTCGCATAGTAAGGCGACATGCGAAGGATGGAAGTGTTCAGGTTCGGTGAAGGTTCTCAAACACGGGCGCTGCGAGCATTGCTGCCCTGAAAAATAGAGGTCTTTCCCAAACCTCTCTATGGTAAGATTTGTTTGTTCTGCCCATGGTTTCGGGAAATGTCATGATAGCCACGAAGGCGGTGAGCTGGTTTGCTTCACGGTGCTACTGGAGTGAGCTCTGCAGTTGCCAACCAGAGTGTTTTCCGCGGGTTCGTTCAATTGAATTGCAAGATTCTTGGCCCCGATCTAGAGGTGAGCGTCACTACGCCGCAGCTGCCAAGGGCACGGGCCAGGTTGAAGCAGTCATGTGGACTGAGGGTACTGGCAGTTGTCCGGTCAATCATGGAAAGATCTGAGATCAACAGAAACACGTGCTTGTTCTGCTCAAGGCTGTACAGAAGTCGGGGGTGGCACTCAGCGCAGCATGAGAAAATGGTGCACGAGCATATGGATTGTGTAGTTGCACGGTAGACGGAGTGATGACAAGGTGTGCTTCAGGATACATCACAGTCATCGCAGTATCAAGGAAACAAAGCGGTACAACTTTGAACGGGAGAAGTGCAGCGTGGCCTCCCGAAAGTTCGGTCATGACAAAGCTTCGACACAGTCGCAGCAGCAGCAAAGGCATGGACTGCAGCACCTTTCCACACAGGGTTTTGTAGTTGTGCAGGCAGCACAGCGACCTCTTCTACCACAGCGACGCAGCCAGGCAGCGAGACCCCGCGCCGGCGCTATGAGACCCGCTCCTTCTGGGACCAGCAGCTTGGCAAAAGGGAACCGCGCGAAAAAGACCCATGAGCTGCTGCATGAATACAAGGTGGTACCAGAAGCATGGGGAAGCCGTGGAATGGAGTGGCCCCGTGAACGACACGGTACCACAACAATCGTTGGAAATTTCATGCTGTTGCCGCAGCAGAAGTGGTTGGTCGGTCAGGTTCTGCAGGCAATCATGGATGCCAGACGCCTGGCTTTCTGGGCCAGAGGAATTTTATGAAGCTTGCTGCCTTGCTGCTATGGCCAGGTCCTGAAGGGACTGCCCAAGTCAGCCTGAACCTCAGTCATCTCAGTCGCAGTCGCAGGCACGGATATGCAAGCCCATGCCTTTTTTGTAGCGCCGTGTGTCCAATGTGGGCGCCCTTGCAGCAGGCCGATCCAGCAGACCGTCGTGCTATTATCGGATAACGTGCAACGACGTCCCCTCCGGTAAAATTGAAGAATCTGCGCCCCGCAAAAATGAATATTTGGCGGGGGACATGTATTGAAAGCATAAGATGGGGATGCCTTTTAACAACTATTTCAACCTCTTTTCAGTCGAAATCTAAATAAAAACGAATTGAGGTCAATTGAAATTGAATTACATCTCAAATTACAATCTTCACAACCCAGCTAAAATTGAAATCTAGTTCAAGCCCAGTTAAAAGCTTCAAAACCGCATGAGCAATATCAGAATCAATTGAAAATCTAACACAGAGGTAACTGAAATCAATGGAAAATCCCTTGAAATCGAAATAACACCCAATGAAAAACATTGAAATGTCAAATGAAAATCAATCCAAAACTAATTAGAATCAAGACACTAACGTTCACAATCATAATAGAATCAGTTAAAATCTCATTTAGATGTTATATGAGTGCCTTCGTAAACAAAAATTATCTGGAACTCATGAAACCTAGGAAAGGAATTGGGTCCCCTTTTCTACCGCCCCCAATGATCTCAGGACCCCCCCCCCCCCTGATTAGGTGGCCCCTTTGAAAAGTAGTCTTTACTTTTTGGAAGTTCTGCTCAGGATTTCCGAGCCTTGAACCTATTTTTTGATAGTAATGTAAGGGGGTTCTGATATTAGGGGAAGCGGTTAACAGAAATAAGTTGAACCATCCAGACATGCCTTTGCATCCTCGCCGGCAACCCGCAAACTGTTTTCAAACATTCCGCCTCGGCCATGCCAGTGTGTTTTGGTTGATAGACCTTGGATCTTTTGTTCTACACCGTCTGTAGCGAACCTCACATGTACTGGTCATGCGTGGTTCTCGTTGTGTTGAGTATCGCGCTACAGCCATATAAGGCATTCAGGAATGCGGGGAATCGCTGCCACTCACCAGCGATGGTACGTGGTTTGAATGCTCGTCTGTCCAAAGGAAGCGCCGCTTCGAGTCTGCGAGCTGGGATGCGGGTGTTCTCACCTGGCCCCCATGCTGCGCGACGCTGGGGCTAGAGCCTCAGAGAGTCTCAGAGTCCTTCTGCATGTCAGAGGCTGCCGGCAGACTGTTGCCTTTGAGGTGGCAGTGGTTGGAGTTGATTTCTCTCAGGAGGCTACCTGAGCCAGACGGGAGCCTGAGAGAGCATTCGCTTGTAATGTAGCCGGCAGCCCCAAGGTGATCAATGCCAACAGACTGCGCCATCCAGACATCCAGTGGGAATGCTGGGATGCGCTGATCTGAGGAGACGACTTGATACGAGCCAGCGCTAGCAGCAAATGATTACTGGGCTGCTTGCACGTGAGGCACTACAACTTGCCGATAAATTCGATGCTGGCCATTTTGATGCAATCGTTGGCAAGACGCTCATCGATTGTTTTCTCACCAGGACAGACTGTAAGAGATGGGCATGGCCATGGTAGATGTCCATGGACACTCGAATGCTACGTGCCAGTGGTGGGAGCTTGTAGCGGATTCCTAGCAATGTCCTCGTGCTTGCGGAGAGCTACTGCAGTGTGTCCACCGATGGGCGATGATCTCACGACGCACCATCTAGCCCAAGAGATGTAGAGCATGTCATTTGCCAAAAGAGGTGCCCGAAATCCTTTCTATATCCACTGCCAGCAAGTTGTTTTTGGCATGTGGGAGGTTGCTCAAGCTAAGCCTGCAATCCAAACAGGTACAGCTTCGTTTGGTCCGCAAAACTTCCAACCCAGACGTTTTCAGTTATCAGCGGTTGCTCTGCGAATGCGGGTGAAGCGACAACACTTTTCAAGCGCACGGGCAGCGCAGCAGAGCTGTGAAACTTTGGGGCATTTTGACGCGAGTGCGGCATGGTGAGCAACAGGGGCTCACAGGCGGAGGAGGGCGTTTGAGCCGCTTATCGAGGATCCCAAGGGAATGCTCTTGCAGGAAGCTTTGCACATAAGCGAACAAGAGCTTTTGAGTGACCCTGAGTAAAGAACACCAGCGCTATGCATAGCATAAGTAGCTGATGCTGCCGGTCAGCCAGCTGTCAAGTTGAATCAACGTTGTCATTTACCTGTGCTACCTTTCTTTCTGTTGTCTCTGCGAATTGCAGCGCAGGACCGACGCTGCAGGCTCCATACGGCGCATGCTGCAGCAGTGCCACACCGTCCTGAAAGACACTGGCTGCATGATGTTGCTGGACAAGGCTCTTCACGAACTGTTGGGTTGCCAGATTCTGGTGCACAGCGGAAGTTGGCAGGCCAGCTCAGACACCATCATCGGGCGAGGTCGAACGCGACAGCTGACGGTCGACAGCCACAAGTGCACCCCCAAAAGTGGAACCAGAAAGGGCTTAGCTGTGACAGCCTTTGTCTGTCATTGAGGATGCTGACCTTCCGCATTCTCCATCCACAGCCCCGGCCACCCCAACGTGCTTGAAGACAGCCCACAGGTGAGGATCTATAAATGCATTAACGGACAGGCAGACATACAGCGCAAGCATGCCAACAGAAGACTCTGCCAGCTCTCTGCTTAGGCAAAGTAGATTGTCGAGATCCGTCTAGGGCTAAACGTTGAATTCACAGCCTCAGGCAACCTGCAGAGGCAATGGGAGCTGGAAATCGAGCCTTTTGGAATGCAAGCAAGCGAACTGTTTATCCCTTGCTTTGACAACGTGACGTCTCCAAGGCCCACGCTGCACAAGCACTTTGTGGTGCGACCTGCCGCCGCAGGTTGTGGATCGTATGGCTCTCAGCCACTGGCTAGGGATAGCGCCAACTCCAAAGCATCACAGGCTGCAACTCTACCCAAGAAAAAGGAAGAGACTCTGAGCCCTGTTTTCCTTTATAGAGGCTTGTCGTGTGGTCGACGGATCACGCGCGGGGCCCTGGAGACGCAGAGCTTTGTGGAGCTGTGTTGAGGAGCTGTTGAAACTTTCGCACTTTTGGCTTGCGGTTTCTTAGAGCCAGAGGTGGCCACGGGGGCGGGTATCGAGACGGGAGACCTGATCCTAGGCCAGCTTTGTAGCTGCAAGGGATATCTCAAGCATACCATGGCCAGGCTACCGGCGAAGCGGCTCAAAAAACATGACCGTGCTTCCCTTGGCTTCCCTTTCCCAGATCGAGTTTACGTGCATTTTGCCTGTCAGCCAAGGTAGGCAACGCCACAGAGACGGCAAAAGCGATTCGCACGTGAAGCTCTCAGCTCACTTAGGTTGCTGACAGGAAGAGGGGGAGTCGAATGATCCGACTGAAACATGAAAGCTTCGGATTTGAAGCAGGCTCGTTAAGGAAGGGGGGCCCAAGAGGCCAAGAGAATCTACAACACAAGCCAGAGGAGCAAAGCGGTGCACTATAACTGGTGAGGCAGCAAGGAAATCAAAAGAAGCTTCTAGCCGACTGCACTTCCCAGGTCCCTGAGAAACATCTTTTTACTCATGGAACGCCCAGCTTCCGGAGCTGCGCGGCGCAAGACGGCCTCGTTGAAGACGAGGACACCCGTGAGCGCACATGCTTCTTGTGTGGCCAACCTCGGCGAATAGGTTGATGTCGCGCCAATCCACTTCCCAGTGGCGGCCTAGTGCCGGGATCGGGACAAGCTTGAGCTTTACAGTCTTGGGCTGTCAGCCGCCATCTTTTGCCCTTGGCAGCCTTTTTTTCGTCAGTGCCTGTAAGCAAGAACAAGAACAGAACACGCATCCCAGGAATGCATCTTCCGTGATCCAGTTATTTGCTAATAGGGAACCCTCCGCTATCTCAAGGTCTGTGCATATAAGTAGGGTACGGCGTGACGCCCTATCGCCCTATCCACACGTAATTCCAATGACTCGTCTGCATGGTTCAGCTTGGGGGCTCTTGCCATGGCCGTCATGTCTATGAGGCAGCCGAGACTTTATCGTAGTTTCAGCGTTCGGTCTAAGATCCGAGCTTGGACATGTGTCACGGTGACCCTTGGCTGCAGAATTGTGCTGGGTAGTAACAGGCGTATGTTGAGGAACCTCTATTGTGTCAATGTTTTGGCTTATTCACAGTGTCTGAAGCAGAGTGGAGCTTGAGTTGTGTCTTGCTTTAGCAGTAGAAGGGACATGTAAGGTCTGGAAAGCAGGAAGCAGGAAAGCATTGATTCTGGGGCAGGTTGACAGTTGAGCGGGAGGAGGGGATGACCATAGAGGGGAGATGGGGAGGGGGGCTGAGGGATGGATTGATTCAGTGTCTTCAGTAAATCGCCACGCTTGGTGGCGGATCCTGTCTCGTTGCTGCTTCTGCGCTGTTCTCCGCCTCTTTCATGGTCATATTACGAGTGGCATCATGTCTGGTGTCTGCATGAAGCCTCCCTCTTCCTTTGCCATTGCCGATCCAACTGCGCCCCTACATGGACGTGGTACGAAGGACATCATGTTTGGTGGTTGTCGCCAACCTCGCTCCTCCCTCTGCGGTGCTCATGAAACCTGCATGGACATGGCACGAAGGACCTAATGCTTGGCAGTTGCAGCTAACCTATTTTCTCTTTATGCAGTCTTCACCACTCCAGCTAACCTCTTGCCTCCTCCTGTGCTGAAGTGCTGAATGAAGACCTGGCTAGCTTTCGTTGGCTGCCGCCTGCTCCTCAAGTTTTGGGAAGCTGCACCTCTGACAGAACTCTCTAAACTGTTCGCTTAAATCTTCGTACTCTGTTCTCAGGTCCAAAGAGCAAGGCTATCAGGCCCCCAAAGCCTGAATCCCGAAGCAGCAATGTCTTTACTACTCTGGTTGGACTGTTTAGTGAGCAGGAGGCAGTAAGCTTGAAAACGCATTTTCCCGTCTGACGCCGTGACGCTCTCTGGCTGCTGTGCTCAGATTTGTTTTTTGGGGGGCTTTGCACTCGCATGCGGCTATTTCAATTTCGGGCTCTCCTCCTTGTAGGGTGGTTTTGCTCACCCAGATGGATTTTGGAAGCTTTTAAAATGTGTTTGGTCGTGCTCTTGGACAGCCCTTACGCGCATTTTGCTGGATGGTTTCCGGGAAGGACTGTTTTCGGTCCGGTTGACATCGGGTTCGGTTCGGACCGAGCGGTTTTTCTCGTGGCTCGCTCGGTTCGGTTCCATTACAGTTCGGTTCGGCGGTTCAGACTCAGTTCCACCGCATTCCTGTATTTCTGATGCCAACACTAAGTCATACTAAGTCGAATATTCACAGTAAGAGCACCTCAGCGCGGGATGACAGAATCTCAGTGCAAAGTTTGGGCGGAGAGCATCCTGGCCGTGAGAAAGGCGTCTGTTGAGGAACTGACCACGCGCCTTGCCCGCCTTGCGCATGTGGAGAGGAAGAGTTTTAGCTATATTTGGAGTTGTTGGTTAATTATATATTTTTGTTTTTGGCTTGTTGGCTCAGGGTAAGAGATCATGTCATGGCCATGTTTGCCGTAAGGGAGGGTAAGAGAGTATTATGCGGATTATTACTGCTCATACTACCATTATTCTTCGCTTGTAGCTTATTATTAGTTTCCTCCTCCTCATCATCATGATCATTGTCAATAATGCGTGTTCTCACTGCGTCACTACTGCCGTGAGTACTTCGATAACAAGTATTATCAATTTTCATGTTTATTCCAATTAGTTTACATTTTGTTTAGACCTCGCAGGAGCATCCTCAGAAATTGAGCTCCAGTGGAGCGTTTTTTGCATTTTGACACCGAATTGAGCTCCCGCATACATAGAGCATCCTCAAATTTGGGGGCGTGGAGCTTTCTCTCATTTGGACACCAGATTGATCTGTCGCGTGGAGGGTCCTCACATTTTGGCCCAAAGGACCCCAAAAAAACAAAATAATGACAACAATCGATACCTAAAGAATTCTTCCCACATCTGTAGATTCTAGTAGATGAAGAAGGAGTCTGCTACGGTTTCCACAGCCTCTGCGCTTGTTGGCTTTGGTGCTTCGACTATGGTAGCGGGTGCTCTGCCCAGTGCGAGATGGCCTCGCACACTACAGGCCATCCGCCAGAGGCACCGCATGCCCAGGATGCCTCACAAACACAGCTGTCACAGGATGTTGAGGAGATTGTTGGCCACTAGCGTTGAGGCTTTGAAACTTGAACTCGTACAGCAGAGGCGTGCTTCAAAAGATGCGGAGTGTCAGGAACCACGCAGGACACAGGATGCAGGGTATGTCCACATAGTCGATCGGCTGCATGTTTTGTGATGTGCGTTTCTTATGACAAACCTGAGCAACTGAATTCTCAGTTTCGCAGCTATCCAGGGATGCATGCCATTTTTTTCTCGAAGAGCGGCTGGTGCCCGCTTCATTCTTCACGGGTGGCTTTCTGCTAAGACACATGTGAGGGCCTAAGACATGGCCCAATGCTTCAAAAAGAGCACCTTTGATCGCGAATGCGCATGTTATGACGATCCATACTCGAACTGCGTTGCGATTATTCTTAATACGTATGTACTGCTACTAGTGCTATTAAGACTAATCTTGAGACTATACACGCCCAAGCAGTCTTGGGGGGGTAGGTCCGTCCACTGTAATTGTTGCTAGGGTCGTGCGCACTAAAAGTGCAGGTCCCGCAATACTTGCGTTGCTCTTTGGTCCATGCACCAAGGACCCTATGCACCTTACATGTCCTTGTGTAGCTGACTCTGAAAAGAGTGCTAAATCCACACCCACGTGCTGTTGCCAGACTGTTGCTAAGGATTGCATATCAATCCCTCACCGACCCTTTGATGCAATGTTTCTGTTGGCTACGAAGTTGTTACCTGCTCTGCTTCTTTCCTGCCCTGTGCTATAGTGCCTGATATCCAGACTGTCATCGTCGGCCTGACACTGAATGAGCTTGCCCAGCGAATGGACTTAAACAATGGCCTCCAGCTCCATGGGCTCTTCCTCGGGCGTGCTGTTGGAGCTGTTTTCGGTGGCGCTCTTAGCGAACATCTAGGAGCACGCACATCTTGACATGCAGACCTTCGGCACTGGAGTGGGGAGAGCTGAAAACCAATGATGCGCAAAGGCACCATGCTTGGTGGGTGGTTGTGCGATGTTTGTCCCATCAAGATTGCCATGTGCTGCTGTATTGGAACCCCGGCCTCAATTTTACTTGTTGGACATTTGTCTGCGGGGACTGTCAGCTGGGAGCAGCCTGTGAGCCGGTAAGGCAGTTCGGCACTTTCTGTGGTGGCAGTGCCGTTCGCGGCAGCAACTGGCAGCCTTCACATTCTGCAGCCTGGACTTCACGCAAATAGTTGCACATGGGGCCACTGCCCCATGAAATGTATGTTGATGGCTTAAGCTTGGCCTGAGACACGGAAGGCGAAAACAGAAGTGGTAACATGTCTAAGTTTGGAGCTGAGGTCCGGGAATTTTTTCCTGTTGGGCTGCTGTGGCTCGGCGCTGGTCTCGTTCACTGTCTCTGCAGCCTGCTGGAGCTTCCCCGGCAAGGAGGTAAGCACTTTTGGGACTGGTTCAGTTGCTATCTTACTGGCCTTCACGGAAGTTCCTCCCCGAGAATCTCTACGAGTTGAATGTCTACGACATATCTCCTGTGAAAGGTGGGCCCGATACTCGCGCTCTGCAATGGGGCCTTCGGCATGACCAGTGCTGCACTTCCGTTGGCCTTCAAAGTACTGCTTCCTGGATTCTTTAGCATGGGCAGCGTGTGCGATAGTGTGGCTGTCGAGGGTGTCATTCTACTGCGACATCTGTAGGTTTCTGGACCACATATATTATATTTGTTTCTTTACACATTAGAATATGTATATATATATACATGTATATATACTATCGCTCCCCTCCGTACCCACCTTTTCCTGTAAAGTAGTCTAACTTCTCATAAACAAGCCATGTCATAGACACTGCATCAAATGGTTATGTCGATCCGCACTAAGCAAGACATCAATGCATGTCACGGCAATTGTCAAATGATTCCATAAACCCACATTCAGCAAGAGCAGCAATGGATGTCACAGGCGCTGTGTAACGTGGCTCCATTTACCAACACTCAGCAAGGATAGTTATGCAGGCCACGGTCAGTGTGACATTGTTGTATTGACCCACATTCGGCACGACTAACCATGCATGAGAAATGACATACACCGAATATACAAGCAGTTTATTCTGTTGTTCCTGTTGTATTCACATTCTTTTTCCAGTCACGCAGCCCCTTTTTCAGAAAAAGTGGGTCCGCGGTAAGAGCGATTCTCTACGTGTTACAGATGTAATCCGGAATTCTTCAATTTTTGGCTCTTGTTCTCCTCATTTTTCTATGTATGAACTCCTCACAAAATTTGCTGGAAATCTATACCTGACTTCTCAACGTGGTGAGGCCTTGCGTGAAGGGGTTTTTGTACCAGAGTCGAACAATGGTCGTGCAACTTCGTAACCTATGTAGTAATGGTTTGTATGAGAAAAATGCAGGGCTATTTATTTGAGACCTCCTTAGATTCGACAAAAAAAATTGGAAGTATTGAGATGGTTTCGATTCTTGCAGAAAAAAATAATTGTTGGATTCGTTGGATACTAAGACTATGCAGCAGGAGCATACCAAATGTATTTTCATTTCAGCCACATGCAAATTAGATTCCCTAGTAATATTTCGTTGCGTAAAATATGGAGTGCAATAATTATACAAAGCCCAAAACAAACAACAACTTTTCAACAAGGCCGCCGCGAGAGCCAAAAACCTCTGTTCCCATGAAAGGAACAGAATTATCGCTTCGCCGCAATAAAGGTACAAGAGAAGTACAATTGACTTGAGAAGTGGAAGCTCCAGTTCCTTGCAGGTTTTGTTTTGATCCATAGAAATTTAGTAGAAGCAACAGGAGCTTGAGTTATCTCCTCATACGGAGAGGGCTTCGTGTTTTTAACTAGACGCACTTTTTGCCTTTCAAAAAAATCCTTCATTAACATGATGCACCATGTATAAGGCCACGTGTAGAATCAAACCTATGTTCAGAAGACAGATCTTTCTTCTCTTCAACAAGATATATGAGCTGCCCTAGTAAACAGCTATCTGCATGATAGTGCGAATGCTCAGCACACTAGCATTTCGGGTCAAATTTGCCCGTCTTGACAGAGTGTGGATCACGGAGGGAGTGCCTTCTGGCAGGGGGACCCCTTCTTTAGGGGGTCTTTCCTTAAGTCCAGGAACACTCTGTCCGTGATAGCAGTCGGCTAATGCCTCCTCTCCCTGGTTGGGTGAAGACGGGGCGTAAGGCTGGAGATGATCATTGGGACACGCTGGCCGTGGACTGTTGGGTGGAGTTCGCTGGCCTGGACGATGCGGGAAAACAGCAAGGACGTGTTCTTGGCTGCTTGGTGGCTGAGGGGGAGACAGCTCGGATGAGATCTGGTGGCCCACGTGCTGGGATGCGAAGATGAGTACTACGAGCACTGGCTGGACAGCACCTATGGCGCCTATCGTGTAGATCGGCGCTGCCCCCTTCACTTCTGCTCGACTCATGCAAGCCGCTGCAAGGAGGCGATCATCTACCGCGACATCATCCATGTGGACGTCTTCCGGGTGCTGAGCCATGAGATGCTTGAAGGTCTGGCTTGGTTGCGTGATGAAACTAGCGGAAGAATGGTGTCCTACCCTGCCTACATCGCTCATGTATCCGCTGCCCCTGGGGCCCCGGGCCCGGGGCTCATGACGGTGGAGGACTGAAGGTGGACACTGGCCTGGCTGGCATCGAGGGTTTGGCTGCAACCTTGGGCGCTGGTGTCGGCAACCTCGATGGGTCGGAGGACGCTGGGCCGAGCAAGAAGAAGAAGAGGCGAAAGGAAGATGGAGGAGAAGATGCGGAGACTGACGGCGGGCACTCTCCTGAAGACTTGGCGGCGGAGATCCTGAAGAGAAAGCCTCAGGCTCCGGTGGCTTCTGCGCTGGAGCTGACCTGAAGCAGTGCCGACAAGAAGAAGAAAAAGAAAAAGAAGAAGAAGGATGATGCGACTGGGTCATCAAGCTCTACCGACAGCAGCGATGACTCGGTTTTTCGCCTAGCCGCCCTTCCTCGGGGAGTCGAGCGCTTGAGAAAGATTCACCAGCGAAAGCCCGGCAAGTTGGCTTCGTTGACGCTTCTCAGGCTGCAGGAGCTCCTGTTGCGAGCACAAGGAGGGGGACCGGCTCAACCGAGCTCGCAGGTACCACCAGTGGCCCGGGCGTACCTTCACCAGATCTACTTCGCCCAGCACGGAGTAGATCGCCTAGGCCCTCGGAACACCAAAGAGATGCTGACGTTGGCGACGGCGGTCGACTACATCTGTCAGAACGACAGTCTAAGAGCGCTCGACGTTCTACTACAACGCTTGAAAGCTCTCGAGGTGTCGCAGTCCCAGGGCAACTGGAGCCAGGCGGCGGAGTTGGAACTCGTGATGACGCGGTGTTCCGTCAGGAGCTAAAAGCCGCCCAGCAAGAGGTCAAAGCCGATCTCGACCTGCAGAAGGATCCGCGGCGCCGCCCTTGGAGGCCTCAGAGATGGTACGAGGCCGCCGACGTCGGAGAGAGCACCAAGGAGGACGACAAGGACAAGCCTCCGGAGAACGCGCCGAAGGGGGCGCGGAAAGGAAGGGGAAAGGGCAAGAAGGGGAAAGGTAAGTGGAGGCGATGAGTGTGGACCCCGCTGAGTCGTTCTCCGGCGAGTCTGCCCTTGTTGTAGATGGAGTCCTTCGTCTGGCTGAGTTGGAGAGTGCCTTTCCGGAGCTCTATGGCAAGAATCCTCCTCCTGATCTCCTCGTGGTCTTGGGCTTGTGCAAGATCCCGGAGGTTGCTGAGCTTCTGAAGTATGGCCTTCGACAGCTGGCGTGCGAGACATCCCGGAGCCGTTTGCGCTACAACTTTTGCGTGCTTTATCATTGACCACTCCGACATTGGCCCGGCCGAGTTCCTGAATAAGGCGACTGAGTTCTTTTCTGAATTCCTTTCTCCGTGGGGCCCTTCGGAATCGCTGGCGTTTGCTTCCAATTTGGGAGCGGGCGCTGGCATCTCCGTTGCGTTGCACGGTCGTTGCTTGGAGGAAGATTGTGGAAAGATGCTTGCGACCTTGCAGAAGAACTTCACAGCGGATGAACCGGTGAGGCGTCCTCTGGTCACTGGAGATGATGATCGCAGGGGTGGTTACTATATCCTGGGTGGATTTGGAACGCCAGACCGATGTGGAGTGACCAGTGCTACATCAAAGTATACCCCTGCTATCAAGGACTTGAACTCCTGGCTGCGGACTTGGCTCCCTGGGCAAACGTGGACAAGTTTGTGCATAAACCAAAACGAGAAGATCGCTTTGCATGCTGACCAGGGAAACTTGCCGGGATCCCTCAACCACTCGATCTCATTGGGTGACTTCACTAAAGGTGCCCTCTGGATTGAGGATCCCAGTGGGGATGAGGCTCGTACTTTTGATGATGTGGCTGGTCGTCTCCGCGGCCGTTGCGTCGATACTCACGGGCAGCTCTTCAGCTTCGATGCCAGGACTCGACACTGTGTTGAAGAATGGAGCGGAACCCGCTGGTCAGTGACTGCCTACACCTGCCGACGTCTTGAAGACTTCGCAAAGGCTGATCTGAAGATCCTTTTGGAGCTTGGCTTTCCTCTTCCTGAGTTCACGCCGAGCCGCTTGCTTGAGACTTACAAGGGCATCCCCATCGTTGAGTATCATAAAGGCTGGGATGCGGCCGATGGCGGCATTTATGTGGGCCGTGGAAGTCCTGAGCTGACTCGGAGTGTTTTTCAGGAGGGAATCTGCTCGGCCTTTGAGCCAGGGGCGGCTCAGCTGGCTTTGGCGGGGCGCCCTTTGTACGTCCTGTCCTCCGAGGTAGACTCAGCTCGTCGTGTCGTGGATGACTGGAACCTGACTCCCGGGCGCTGCTGGAACATGGACACATGGCGAACATGGCTGCGGTTTTGGCTCGTTGATGGGGTTACCATGGCCTTCATTGGTCTGGTGCTCAAGCTTGGCTTGGGGGCCAGGCCGGGACACCTTGGGAACTTCATAAGGTGCCTCTTGTGCTGCGCTAGGAAGCAATTCAAGGCCAACCCCGTCGAGCTGTTGCCTGTTGCGTTGCCGAAAGAGTCCGCTGAGCTGCTGAGCGTCCAAGAAGAGATGCTTCAAATGTGGGAGCGCCGTAGGTTCACTCGGGAGTCGCTGCAGTCCCTCAAACAGAAGGTCACGCCCGAGGTTGGTGCGGAGTGTTGGACTTATTTACAGGTTGCGCTCCTCGACTACATGTACTGTGGTGGTCGTCAGATGTTGGGTCAGGTCATGCCGCATCCAGATACATGGTCAACGGCCCAGAAGGAGGCGGTTGAGCGCCTGCACAAGTACTCGCGTCTTTTGACAGAGGACTCGGGGGCTAAGGTCGCGATTGAGAAGTGGGAGGTGGTGCGTCAGTCGTTGGGTGACATCTACTTTGGACGTGAGGTGGAGAAGGCGTACCGCCTCTCTTGGAGAGCTATCGAGCCTCATGTTCCTGGGCCTGGCGAAGCCGGGCGCGTGGAGCTGGCTTCTGTGGTGAGCCCTGAGCTTCGTGACTTTGTCGAGAATCCAGACCTCCTCAGGATTCCAGACGGAGATGTTCCCGAGCCAAGGTATGAAGCTCCGGTTCTTGTGGAATCAGACCGGGAGTATGACTTGA